ATTTGTTTTCAAATATTCAAAACAAATTCAGTGAGAATCTACATTATCAGCGTTGCCAGCCTTGGGATTTTATCCCAAGATCTTGGGATTTTTTGAAGCGGTTGGGATATTTTTGGGATTTTATTTTGAGAAATGAGACCTTGGGATTTTTCTTGGGATTTTTAAGAAACAGTCAAGAAAAATAATTAAATTTTACTGATATATTAATAGTTAACAAACTAAAATAAAAAATCTTCCAACCTTGGGACCTGTCGATAAAGAGTTAACAAACTAATAGTATTCCACTGACTGTAGTTGTACAATCTCTTCATTTATATTATATAAAGTACATCGTATGGAATTTAAGCCCACATGACCAAAATTACAATTTCCGAAAAAAGGCGCGAAACGGTGAAAAAAGAGTTTTTTGGCTTTTATGCCATAAAATATGCCGATATAAAAAAAAAACAAGAAATACATGTCAAGAAGCTGACACATTGACGCCCAATTGAAGTATCAAACGAAAAATGCAGCGACAACCGCGATAATGCTTTGATAAATGCATGGATAATTATAAATTCTTGCAATAATGCGTGGATAATTAATTCATTTTATTTCGAATATCGAAGTCCGATCCGATCGATCCGACTACAAAACAACTTTATCAATCCGATCCGAAATGTATATTTTTGTTCCGAAATCCGAACGAATCCGATCGGATTTGCACGCCTCTAGTAAAGGTCCTTTGACTCTCAATGAACACTACCCAGAACACTACTCAGTACTCCAGTCACTAGCTGCGCTGCGCAGCGCTGCGCTACAAGAATGGCGAGAATCCGCGGGACAGGCGCCGCGGAACCAGGGGGGCATGTAAAAGTGCCCTTTTTTCTGGGCTAGAAAGAAAGTGCCCTTTTTGCAGCAGTAAAGACTCTGTAAAGGCCATTTCCGACGTTACATAAAATCGTTTGATTTTGATCCGGTATACAAAAGTGCCCCTTTTGGCCAATGCCCCTCCACTCCACTTTCGAAATGCTGTCAGACTCGTCAGTTTCATCATCAAGGCACTGATAAAGGCACAATATGTGTGTTAATATTTATTGTAGTTATTAACTTATTGTATTCGTATATTATCATTTACATTTTATATAAACGTTGTATATGACATGAGACACGGAGTTATTGTACTCTAGACTAGAAAGAATTAATATTAGAACGCAGAGATATGAAAACATAAAACTTGTGACGTTACTTTGTACTTCAATCAGAAGATTTACTCCAAGTAATCTCGGATATTGTTCAGCTAAATGTCAACTTTATATGCCTACTCCCCACAGATAACCCTCACGTGGGGCAATTTATCCTGTCCAGGAAACATATCAAGGAAAAACACGTTAATAAATTGTTATTAATAAATTTAACTTCAGGGGCCGGTTGTCCAAAGCTGAGTTAACGCTAATCCTCGGTTAAAATTTAATCTGCTGTTTTATTTTAAAGGAATACAGAATGGTTTTCCGTGCATGATTGCATGATCCATGCACGAGGGATGTCGCGACACTTTCGGATAAGCGCCCTGGCGTAAACTAATACTCGAGCCGCAGGCGAGTGTATTTTTACGCTTTCCGAAAGTCGAGCAACATCCCAAGTGCATGGATCACGCTATCCTGCTTGGAAAACCATTTGGTAATTGTTTTATAAAATAACTACAGTGACATTTTGGGAATCCCGTGAAAATCCCGCGAAGGCATTTTAATTCCTCGTGCAGGATAGCCTGATCCTGCACACGGCTATTGACCAATCAAATTGCGTGTTTCACTGTAGTTATTATATAATAGGGAGTTTAAGCTTCACGTTGCGGGAATGGCAGACGGCAAAGCTGATTTTTCTTGGCATAATTTTCGTTCGATTTCGGCGTGTCAAATTTTCTTTCATATGACACAGGAATAGTTAAGCATTCTAGTTATAAAACAACAAGCCCATTTACTTTTTGTTGCTTTATAGCGTAATTATTATTTTTTGTCTGACGTTTGTCGTTGAACGCGAAGCTTAATCTCTCTAATGTGTATTTCTGCATGTCTGTCTATTTCAAAACGTCAGAGAAGAAAACTCCCACTGATTCAGACAAGATTTCTAAAGAAATATTTTCAAATTTATAAACAAGCTCTTGGGAAGTTTGCTTTGAATTTTAGGTTAAATTAACCTAGGGTTAAGCTAACCCAGCTTTGAACAACCGGCCCCTCAGGACTTACGACAGCTGTTAAAATTGTCAAAACAGAAATTTAGAATGCGTATAGTGTGATGATTTTGTGTAATGATTTGCCCACCCTCCCTGGATCCAACTATTGTTACCCAAGTAACCAAACCCCGTCACCACAAATAACCAGCGAATCTGCGAATGGAATCTACAGTGGGCCACTTTCTCGCACCTGAAATGTACTCTGGGTACGGGGTTGGTCTAAAATGACACCTGGAAAATATTTACATGTGTAATAGGGTTATGTACAGTTGTTTGTTGTGGTTCCTATGTTATCTCTTGCTGTATGATCTATCTTCCTGGTGGTTACGTGAATCAGATCTATTGTTTCTTTTGTCCTTTCCATTTTTATCTCTTTTATCTTTCTCTTGTTTTCTTTTTCTTCTTCTTGCATGTCCATCATCACTACTTTCACACTCGGATGACTCCAACTTTCTTTTCTTTTTCCGTTTAGATTTACTTTCCCTTTCATCTTCAGATTCAGAATGTTTTCTTTTCTTCTTACTCTTGTGTTTCCTCTTTTCTTGTTCCTTGTTTTCAAGTTTGTCAAGTTTTCTAGACGAGAAAATGTCAAACACTCGAAATTCAGATATACACACTTATTTTTCGTGCAATGAGGGGAAATTAAGTCACTAAAACTAATGCGCCCAAATCAAAAGAGTTTTTTTCTTGCTTTGAAGTGAACTTGTACAATTTAGAGAGAATAGCTTTAAGTTTGAAATTGGCAGCATTTTCTGGCAAATTTACATGCAGTTACTCCCGTTTAAATGCCCGCTTTTAACTTGTCCTGGGCATGCCATCTCTATGTTACATCACTGACGTACAGTATACACGCACCACAACTCATTAAAGAAAAGTAAAAATTTTCATTTAGTAATTTTCTCAACTAATGTACTTCTGGTAAAACATTCGAATAAACCAGCCATTTGAAGATTTAACATCTTTATCCTACCTTAGTAATTTACGTTTTTGTTTTTCATTCAAAGTCGCAAGGAATGCGAGCTCTGGATCATCGTCGTCATCTTCATCTGACGCAAGGATTTGCTGCAAGTGCGAATACAAAGGAAAACCAGTACATTGTACATGATTTGTTGAACTTATTATAGTCATCTAGCTTGCTAAGGGAACGGGAACGATAAGTTAGCGGTTATATTTGAGGGGCCCCTATGACTTCATAATTGTAAAACGGGAGAAGCGGTGTTTTGCAATATTTTACACTTTATTGCATGTTATCCGACATTAGCATATACCCTGGTAGCCTGCGTGACAGACAGTCAGCCCGCCGCGGAACACCTAAAAACGGGCCAGGCGAAGGAGGGAAAATACTCGGGAGGTGGATAGTGGGGGCCCCTTTTGAGCTGGAGGCCCGGGGCAAAGTGCTCCACCCTTTCGCCTGTCCTGACCGATAGATATTGTGACAAGGATATTTCATCTATGGAAGCAGGTATTTCGTCATTATGTCAAGCATATTAGCATTAAATTTCACCATAAAATGTTTGACGAAATTGATATTTGCAGCAACAAAGGTTACTAGTAAACTCTACCTGGTTGGGGTCATCTTTATTTAGAACACGACCAAGAGCATTCTGTTTCAAAGCAAAGCCATCGTTTCTCATATCTTGCATCAACTTCACTGGGTCACTGAGACCAGCATCTTAAAATTGAAAGTGTGAAGACAATTCAGTTTACGATAAGGATTGAGAGCTGAACATTTAGTAAGAGCTATGTTTCATTAGTACTATTTAAAGCACGCGTAGGAGTGTTTTATCACATATAAAACACGATGCGTAGCGGAGTGAAAGCGTAGCGGAGCGAAACTACTCATCTTATACGAGTTCATTGGCGAAGTAATTTTTAAAATAAATTTTGTCTAAACCGAGAAAATCAAAGCTAAAGTTTATGTAAATTAACATGATTTTTTATCACATATAAAACCACGACACGCTTATGATTTTTCTTTGTATTTTGCTCCTGAATTATTAATGCGTTTTTTAAGCATTTATAAACTGCAACTTTTTCACAGTACACACGCAAGCGCAAACTAACAAACCTGCAGCAGACTTGTAGCAGTACTGCCCAACAACTTATCGTCACTGCTTGTTCCCAGCTTGTTGACAAGTTGTCAACGGATTGTTAACAACTTTCTTTGTACAAAATTATTAAAAGCAACAGACGTTGTTCCAACAAATAACTTGTTATCGTCCTGCAATTCAACAACTTGTTAAATAGCAAGTTGTGTGTTGTGAGTGACAACCTTGTAACAATTTGACAAACTAAGAACAGTGTTCCAACTTGTTGACAAGCTTGCTACAAGCCTGTTGCGAACACATCTTGTTGACGAGATGTGACATTTTTACGTATGTAGATATGTTACTGTTGTACCAGTACGGTAGCTATAGGCAAATTACCTGTTAGAGAGGACGGTTCTGTGCTAATGGATTTGTTGTATAGAGGACACTAAAATAAAGTTGATAGACATACACGTAGTGATTTATTTGTATTGTGTTATTAGAACTTCAGGAACGCAATTACCTCTCGATCTGTATTCACGTGACCCCATTTGTGGCATTTTATACATCTAACATTTCGCACCTATACATAGAGAAAATGAAGACTACTCAAAATTTTAAACAATATCAGTTGGAACCTGTAGCATAGAAACCAAAACGTGTCCTAAAACGTTATTTCTATAAATTATTTATCAACATGCACATACGGGTATTCCAAACGGCTGAGCATGAGTTTCAAGATTGAGATCTTTTGTGTACCTGAAAACATCAATCAATCAATAAGATAATAAACTATTGAACAGATTAAAAACAATATGGCTTTAGATCACACTTCTCAGCAGCGTAGAAATGTAACGTGGATGCTGTCCACATCAGGGGCGTAGCCAGCCACAATCGTCGAATACACAAACTAACTAGGGGTCCAGCCGTCCGATGGCATGGTTCCCTGAAAATTCTTTCTATTTTTAGGGTCTGCAAAACACTATTTCATGCTTTTCAGACACGTTCTATGATAATCTGAAAGCCACAGATTTTGTATATTTTATGTCATACAGATGTAAGCATTACGAGGTCCAGACCCTCCCACTCCTCCCCTGGCTATGCTCCTGGTCCAAATGGAGTCTAGTCACGATCTATGATAATCTGAAAGCCACAGATTTTGTATATTTTATGTCATATAGATGTAAGCATTACGTCCAGACCCTCCCACTCCTCCCGTGGCTACGCTCCCGTTCCAAATGGAGTCTAGTCACTTGCTGAAAAATTAATTTCCGAGTATCCCATTCGGGAATCAAACCTGTGGTTATCATAGACGTAAAGCAAATCACATATGTAAATTGAATAACCCTACTGTTCTGTAAACTAAAACTGGGTGAAGCATCCTTTTGAATTTAATTAGCCAATTTTGAAGTTAGAATGTTTTTACAACAACAATATGAAAGTTTAATAAGTTCTTTGTAGGTTTGCATGGCGATAAAATATATAATACTACTGTTTGTGGAAACACCACGTAAATTTATTACTGCAAAGCTTTCGATCCGTAAGTCCGGATCTTCATCAGTGCTAATTTAATAATATGAGCATATTATTAGCACTGATGAAGATCCGGGCTTACGGATCGAAAGCTTTGCAGTAATAAATTTACGTGGTGTTTCCACAAACAATAGTATTATTATAATAGGAAAGTTTATTGCGAACTTACCCTTCTTTTGGAGCTCCTTTCAACCACTCGAACTTCAATTCGTCTTCTTTAGGTTTTGACAATTCTTCACCTTCCTAAAATATACACGAGTAGATTACGTATATTATTCTATACACTGCATTCCTTGAGATATCATCACAGTTTGCAAAAGTTTCGAAATCATAGGAATTTTGGTATGCAATTGTTGAGGATACCACAGATTGTTACAACCTCGTACCCAGGGTTCTCTTTGTAACCCTTGGTACGAGGTTGAGATTGTTACTGGAATGAGGGATACTAAAGACTTCTATGGGACTGCACACGCTGGTCTATCCATTGAGGATGTTCAGATCGAATATTTTGGGGCCGCTGTAATTAATATATATTTTGGGGCATATATTTTATATATAATATAGTTTATATTTTATATTTTGGGGCATATATTTTATATATATAATATATATTTTGGGGCCGCTGTAATTAATTATATTTTATATTTTGGGGCATATATTTTATATATATAATATAATATATATTGGGGCCGCTGTAACAGACCTTTCCCCTTTTGAGTGAAATGTTGATCTAGACAAGTCTGGTTCCGAAGTTTCGTTGCGAAATGTTGTAAAATGCGGATAATATAGCCTTGCGAAGTTTGCCGTTTTTCAGTCATTTGGTATTACAAACGGGAAATTGATAATCAGATGATCAAACTGATGCAAAATGTTAGATTGTAATGCAAAATGACTGAAAAACGGCAAACTTCGCAAGGCTATAGGCCTATTATCCGCATTTTACAACATTTCGCAACCAAACTTCGGAATATTACTAATTTTGTGATGCTCTTTCAAGCTGTGATGAAATTGTTGCCCAGGCATATCTAGATCAAAATTTCACTCATAAGGGGAAAGGTCTATTGGCAATAGCTGTTGTGGTTTCCCAGTCAATGCATGTATAAGTATGATGGCAAAGTAAATAAATAAATTTATTTTTATCTGGTATTTTACTAGATTGTATTACACCGTAAAAGGTCGTTTCCCCAGGAATCTCTCAAGGTGACCTATTAGAGGGAGGGGGGCGGTAAATAGAGAAGGTGAGCTAATCGGTTTAGGGATCGTTCATTATTTATACCCAGGGTTGGTACCGAAGAGATATGGGTTGGGTAATCAAGTTTTTGACTAGCTCATGGGTTGGGTAAAAAAAATTATGGCTGTTTGTCAGCTATAAAATAAAATAAAATAAAATAAAACTAAAATTACCATGCATTGGAAAATATGAAGAAAAATGTGTACAATACATTCTGTACCAAAAAAGACCATCAGTGATATACTGATAGAGGAAGGACTCTATCATTGATCAGCAGAAACGTGATTGGTTTGGCACACTCAGTGAATTCGAGTGTCAATGAGCTTTTAGAAATTAGGCAACTTGATTTCTCTCACCATGTGTTTAATTATTATGACATGTGTTTAATTATTATGAAGTACAGTAACACATGGGTTGGGTAAACATTATTTTGACCAATGTTGAGGTTGGGTAAATAAAAAATTTACAGTGTTTTCGCTTTTCTTCGGTACCAACCCCAGGTATAAATAATGAACGGTCCCTTAGCGGAAACGCAGTAAGAAACTAGGGATCCAAGGATAGTGTGAAGTTTCAAATTTAAAAAGACACTGCAAGAACTAGGGTCGCCGACAACCTAGAAAAGCTTGATGGCTTACACTACGAAATAAACAGTTACCAAAGGCATTTCATCTCACTATTTATTGCTTTTAATACGCTCGGCACACGAGTAGCGTGACGTTTGAAACAAGCCTAACACATCAGAAACGTGCCTTGTGAAACTGATGCAATTCATCTATTTATTGCGTCACCAACAACCAAATTATGCATATTCTAAATTTTCATTTGCATTTGCAGCTGTCGCTAAAAGCATCCCCACGAGGCTACTGCTATGCTAAATTTATCTAATAAACTATAATTGAAATAGCTGTATAAGATATGTTATGAATAATAAGCACTACGTCGTTACATCATTAAAAGACGCATTTTATTCTCATCCGTTCCGTATTTTATCCGCATATCCGTTCCGTGGATCCGCTCCATCCGCTTCCGCATTTTAACTTAATTGTGATATGTTTCACAATAACAAGTCTCATTGACCTTTGACTTTTCCCAGTGTGACGTTGTGTCTATTTTTAGCTTTTCGCATGTGTTGAATATAAATACTGTATCACTTTAGATTTCAATAGTTTCACTGTTATAGCAGTGTTTATTAAATAAAGCACTTTTGACAAGCTTTGATACAGTTCTGTGTACAGAATCCTACAGATTGATTCTCGTAAGATCTGGTAGAGTTATCGTTGCATTGACCACGAGTTTGCACCGTTGACAACAGCGTTGTGCTAGACAGTAAACCCTGAAAGACAAGGACAAGGTCCGTGTTGGCTACATGTACCTCCTTGCTTTTTTCTTCTATTGCATAAAGCTTGTTGGCGAGCCAATTAAGCGATTAGCGATAACACGTTGGCGATAACACATTGGCTATATCTCCTCGTCTTTCTTATTTATATAAGGAGCTCTGACTCAACTGATTTCTTAGTCTCGCAAGTTTTTTTCTTCGTAAACGCCGTACAAACGTTTACCCGCTTCTGTTTAATAGTTGTTTATGCTTTATACAGATCTGATGCAATTTTTCGCTCTTTGTACTGAGTATAGCCATATATTCTGTGATGTAGCACCTTATACAGTCAATGACAATGTATGATGAATACACGGTCTAAATAATATCGACGGTAATGCATAACATCAATTTATATATTGTATTACTATTATTGCGTAGAATCTCAAAGATTTTCTCAATATTCATGTCTGAAATGTTTATATACATACTGTACCTCTGTATAATGAGTATGCCGTGAAAATAATATCGGCACTCAATTGAATGACTAGAATCAAGATTTTCGACTCAATATTTTATACGTCTGAAATGTTTATACACTTTGACTGCACTGTCTAGGCGATCTAGCTCCTTCCGAGCTCTGTATAATGAATATACCGTCTAAATTAAATATTATCGGCACTTAATTGAACGCCCGTAATGCATAAGATCAATTTATATATTGCGTAGATTTTCAAAGATTTACTCAATATTCACGACTAAAATCTTTATACATCTGAAAACAACATTGTCACCCCTTCCTAGCATATCGTCACGCCATCGTGATCTACGGCTTGATAGCGCATGCGCATTTGCGCTACTAAAGAAAAATCGGGTGTTCCGGGGTAAAGATCCTTTACACAACATGAGAAG